TGGGATGTTATAGATGCTATAATTCCCTCTAGCTGAAATTAAATAAGAAATGCATAGCAACAACCACGCAATAACGTAGCAATAAGGAATCTCCTATTCGCGGTAGTCAAGATCATCATCTGACGTTCTGATGACATTGAAACTATACGGAAAAACATGTCTAACTTCCAATCGGGAAGGTATCTAATGAATGAAATCAGTCAGAAATAAAATTATCTATGTATCACGGGAATTATAGAGCCTTAATAACCTCTGGCAATTGCTGTCCCTCGGGCCAGAGGCCCTCGGGACGCAAACTTTGCCATCGGTAATTAAGGCCCTCATAATTCCCTTAATACATAAATAACTATTATATTATACACCTAAATTGAATTTTATCTTTCATTAACTATTCGCTAAAAGATGACCAACTTTTATCTCTTAATGAGAAATACAAATAAAACTGTGACTTGCGCAGAAGTCAGACAAACAATTTCTTCCTCTTCTTTCCCCAAAATGTGGTTGGAAATTCTGAAAATTCTAGTCGTATGTTCAAATTAGACTATGCTGCTATTCTGCCGACCATCTATGTAACTTAAATATTTATGTAAGGTATGTAGTATACAGACTCTGTAACCGACATCCTTACAGATTCTGTTAATTTAACAGAGAATGGTATTCTGCCAAACACTCAACCCCGTGTCGGAATTTGCGCCTGTCCTCTTATTGAATATTGATAGATGGCTAACTTCATAGCTACTCATTAACCTCACATTTCAAGGTTGGTTTTGATAGATTCGAAAGAAAATGGATATTTCAGAATGGGAATTATCTATATCAATTGTATCATTGACTAATTGCCATTTTTTATTGTTATACAATTCTTGAATTCCACTGATACTATTATTAATGTGTGAAAATTTTCATTTCTTATACCTTCCAGCTTCTTCTAGAACGATGGATCCAAACATATATGAAGATTTTTTTATAACATCCATATTATTACCTACATAAGTAACTTAACAATTACAGTGAGAAAATCGGGTCCATAGGAATGTTACATACCTACTATGTAATGTCATTTTATAGGAAATATTTAAATCGCACTGGCAGAATACCGATTTCCTTACATTCTATAAATATTGAATTATACATAGCCTGCAGAGTCTGTACTGGTGTGCAGAATAGCAGCATTAGTTGCGTTTTATTCGTTCCATTCTGGTATCGCTGGTGGAAACAGAATGACGTTTACAAATAAAACGACAAACTTCATGACCTTGCCAGATGGCTCCGAATAATTTCAAAATCATAATTCTAGAGTTTAAAATCAAGAAAATGGATCAATGTATATTTGGAGCATTGATTGCGGCGATTGAAGAAAGTTATTTGCGATCAAGAGTACCTACCCGTCCTACCAATACTTGAACAAATCATAAGCTTTTGACACTTTGATGCTTATTATTATTATATATATTATTATGCTTATTAAAAAGATGAATGAAATAAATAGTAGTTCAAATAAATATAATATTCTCGCAAAATATGAGTGGTGGATGACACAACATGAATATTTTAGGTTTTTTGTTGCAGTATTTAGTAAGTGTGTACAAAATCATCCACCAAATCGCACTATTCATTGTGAAAATGAAGAAATATTGAAAAATAATAATTGATTGTTATATAAATCCCCTCACAGCTTTTAATTGATCTGATGTGGGAAACAATTGTTGTCATGTCAATCAAAACACAAATTAGTAAGTTTAATTTGCAGAGTGACAGACAGAGTGTTACTGTCATTTTTGATTCAGTGAAATTGGGATGAAAAACTTCCAGCTACAGATGCGATGCAGTTGAGTTATTGCCAATGAAGTCTTATGGAAGGTATGAGAAGCACTACAGGGAATTAATTGAATGGTGCAATAGTAAAAAAGTGAAAAAACCAAATAAAGAATAAGTATTTTTGACTAATTTCCTTGAAATGTCTGAAACCTAGAGGCCAAACACCATGGGCATGCTGGCTTCCGCAATAAGCTTACCTACATAATGCTTGAAACAGTACACACAATAGATATATCACTAATAATTAGAAGATGGAGAATATATCACTATTTGCAGGAATAATTGATAGAACAAATCAATCAATCAATTTCCTACGCTTGTAGACAAAATATTGTTCCTAACTGATGCGGAAAGTGTCTTTCCCGCACTCGACTGCTTGCCGGGTCAACGATATTCGCGTGCGTGGAAGTATCACTTTCTGCACTTGTTAGGAAAATTACTATTCTAGAAGTAATGAATATTTTATCGGATCCCTACATATAGGACATCCAACATCACGATGAGAATGATTCGGCGAACGCTAGTATCTGCCTTTGTCTGCGCCATCTACAGTGATTCACGGCTATACTCCGTAGCTGACAATGATGTCAAATTCCATCCTTTCTTAATACTCCTATATGAAACAATTCAATGAACAATCTGTATATCAAAACGACGTCGTATTCTCTGCCTCTGTTATCTGCAGTAAGTATTCAGTCCAAAAAATTCACATCATATGTTGATGAAAATGACAATCAGAAATATTCATGTTTGTCTTGAATGGATACCTAAGTCATAACTTGGGTATAAGGTTGCATGCAGAGACATATAAACAGAGAGGGGACGAAATTTACATTTTGTCCCGATCATAGTCCCGATCCAACATTGTTTTCAGCAGAAAACGATGATGACAAATTTCCGGGGATTGCCCTAGATCTACAGCCTGTTTGGAAACCAGGGAAGCATTAATCATACAATAATTATACAGGGTGTATCTAAATTACACCCAAAAAAAATCAGGGGGTGATTGGGTGAGGAAATAATGTTCACATAAAAATGTGACCTAACTTGTTTCTTCCTAATATTTTCATAAAAAATCGTTTTTTATTCTTTACTCAGTTGTCTTTTCATCAATTTCAATAAAAAGTTGATTTTGTTAATAGTAATATAAGGGTTCTTCTGGTGCAATTAAATTCGAAATAATATTTCCAGTGGCGTCACAGTGGGTAAATTTATTGATATTCATGGTGAATGTCATTATGTGCCATCGGTTTTTCTGTGTTTCATATTTTTATTAGATTGAACTATTGAAATAACAGCTTTTTTATTGAAAAGGAATATCCTCAGATATAATTATGAAAATAAAAAAATGGATATATTTATGGAGAAATACATTGAGAATTTGTATTCTCCATGTGATGAAAATATCAATTCTTTCTTGGTCTATTCAATAGAAAACAACTACATTCCTGGTTATATGCCATGGGGAACATTGAATTAGAATTTGCATTCTCCTTCATATATAAAGGTATGTACATAATATCATTCAGAATTTCTTTCCATGTCCTGTATGATGCATGTCAATTTATCATACAAATGTTTTTTATTCTTTCTGTAATTTTTGTATCTAGCTTAATTTTTGAGGAAACAATAAGAATTAGACAAGACTTCCATTGAGATTACTCAATAACCCCAAGTAGAACCATTTTGAAATTTTGGGACTTTCTCAGTCTCCACCCATACTGAATGTTGGCACCATGAAAGCTTATACAGAGGGGTAGTTAATAAAAACAATTAATGCTTCCAACTTCAACATCCTGTATCTCAAAAAAGGAGCAAGTGCTAGAATATCACAAAGAAACACCCATTGAATTTTTTCTGTGTTATTTAGATACACCTTGTATAATAAACGTTTTTATGTATTTCCATTCTGTTTGTTCCTCAATTGAAATTATGTGAATTTATTTATTAAAATAATGTACATTTTAATAAATTCCTTATTACATAAAATTATGGATCATATAAAAGTTCCCCATTTAATCCAAAATTGGTCAGTTAGGTTTTGCTTTTTTCAACTTGAGCAGTGGTGTTTCCCTAGGTGTTTCTGGTGTAGTTATGGCAGGATATTTAACTAAATTATTGCAAAAAACTTCGTGTATTTTCTTAGAATTACAATGGATGAATCAAAATATGGTAAGTGCCTAAGTTACTACAAATATTTGGTTTAAAAATGAAAAAATCATACCCAAACTTGGTATAGAAGTCCATATTGCCCAAACTGGAGTGAAATATTTCAAAGGAAGGAAATAAGGAATGCTCTAAGTCCATCAGGAATTCCTTCCTTCCTTCCTTTGATTTTCTATTAGATATAATAGGGAGTATAATACCATTGTCATTGTAGTAAAGTTGACTCCCCCCTTACTTAACCTACTTGACTTGTAAAGAAAAGTATGAATATTGAGGAACACAGTTTAGTGTTCCCATTTTTTTGAGCCATCACCTTTTAACTCATTTGAAACTTTGGAGCTATGTATGATTGTAAACTAATAGTGTTTTATGAATGAAATGTTATCTCCCCTCTTTTTATATGTCTATGGTTGCATTTTTCATGTCATGAAATACCATGGATTTCAATAAATATTCAAAAAATGTACAGAGCTTTGAGGAGAAAACAATTTGTGACAGAGGACTAGTAAGGGTTAGTACTTTGAAGTAATGAAATAATTTTTTTCCCTGAAACAGACCATGATTGATGAACTGAATTAATCTAAATAAAATTTTAAATAGGACAAAATCCCAATGAATTATTCAAATTCCATTTCACTTCCCAGTTTGAAAGGAAGCTCATTCTTCTGAATTGTTTTGTTAGCTGTTCTGATTATTTCCTGTATGTACAATGCAGACTTTAATATTATAGAGCAGCCCTCAGATCAGTCTATACACAATTTCCTAGATCTGATTGATTTTGAAAGCATTCACCGGATTCATTAAAAATAATTTGTCAATATATTAATTGAAACAGTCAAATTGCATTTTGAGGGAAGGTAACAATTTTTGGAATATAAAGTAACCCAATAAGTTATTTGATCAAGTAGGCTACACTGTTGCCTGACACTTGTCATTAATGATATAAGTTCATAGGTGGCTGAAGAGAGCAATTTTGAACATTTATTATCATTTATAAAACATATAAATTGACTTACCATATTTAGGAGCATTGTTTGGAGGAGGAGAATTTTGAACATTCATCTGTGTACTACCATTGGCTATGTGTGTGACAGGAGTACTGGAAGGTGTGTTGACAATAGAGCTGTTGGAACTCTTCTTCCCATTATTTTGACTTGATGTTGACATTGTCAGTTGTTTGTTATTCGTTCACTATCAAAAACTACCTACAATTTTTTCCAAATATCAATTAGGAAAGGGGACATTATTTCACTTGTTATTCCACAACTATTGTACTTCCCGATTTCACTAGGGGTTGTGATAAACCTGGTTAGTAGTCTGCAAATAAATGAAATTTACTTCATTTGCCATTTTATCAACACAGATTCAAAGTATGATGTGTAAAACAATGAGAAAACTTGTGATTTCTGATATCTTGTAATTCAGTGGAAAAGGGGGTGACCTACTTTTCACTTATATTGTCCTAATTTATTAGGTATGAACTTGTCAACTCAGTCAACAGTTTTTCAGAATGAAAGGCTTGGCATCATTAAAGAATTCAATCTGCTGACTAGAGAGAAAGTTCAATTCAATAGACAGCCAATAATTTATGTTATTTAGCTTCAAAAGTATGAAAAAAATAAAATCTTGATGAATACAGCACTACAAAAACTGATCATTTTAAAGAATAAACATACCTAGCTTAGCATTGTTGATAAACTATGCATGAAGTAAAGAGTAATAAGTGGTATGAGTCAGTGAATCAAAATACAGGGATTGCAGTATATTATTGCAGGGACTATAAGGACAATCTAGGTATGACCAGTAACATCGAAATGGAAATGTTAGTATCATTTATGATTACTTACACATTCACTTGCTCCTTTAGTTAACTTATCATTCATTAGAATTTCTTCGGTTATTCAGCACAAATTACTTCTTTAAAAAAATAAACATTTTCTCTCCCAAACCAATATTCGTCCATATAAAATGGCGTCTCATTTACAACCTTTCACACCAATCAGAACGAACGAACAGTAGCGCCAAATGTGACGTCATGAAAAACAGACATAATTTTTTTCAAATAAACCAAGGACCCGTAGAACAATATCAGCAATATTTGGTCTTGGTCAGTTTTTTTTATGGGAATCTCCTCAAAAGTGGATCGACAATACAAGGCATTCAATAATTAATTATAATCAATTTGACCACATAAAACTAGCAGAATATTATAAAGAACATACCTTCTATTTTGTATTGCAGAATAATATATAGGCCTTCCTAAAACTGTAGTTTGAGTAGTATTCTTAATAAAATACTTATGAAAGCATTTTAAAATTAAAATAGAAACAGAACGAATAGAAAACAGCAATATTCAAAAACAAATTCAACTGTCAACATGTCAACAAATTAAAACAAAAATATTTCAAACAAAAAAGTATGTTACTACGCCAACTCTGTTAATTTTATGAATATTGCGAGCAGCGAGCACAGCAAGCGCAGGATCACAGATTCACAGAATGACAGGACCGAGCAAATATTATGGACAGAGCTACTGGTGTGTAGATTTTTTAATCGATTCAAATCGGAACAAAAATCGATTTGAAAAAGATCGATTCAAAAATAAATCGATTCTATAACATCGATTCACCTCAAAAATCTCAAAAGCCGCGCTAAATTTAAAAAAAAATTGTTTATTCCAGATTAGGTATCAATACGAAATAACTTGAGAAATATCACCATGAATGCTACGAAAAGGTATAGAATTTTATAAAAAATGATGAAATATTATAATAAATTCCCAATATCGAAGGAACATGAGGAAATAAATTATTATATTTTCTCAGGATAACGATAATAAGTTCGAGATCGATTCGATCAATCGCATGTTTCAGAAAAATCGATTAGATAATCGACTTTTTTTGAAGAGAAAAAAATCTATCTCTGAAAAATTGATTTCATAATCGGCATCCCTACGTGTCGAGAAGATCGAAAATATGAAAAACACGACCGTGGCGAAGCTTAAGGGCAATGTACATTATGCTATTTCTCAGCAAGTTTGAGGCAATGCAATTTTCTCGCAATTTCTCAATTTATTGCGAGTCGCCGTACATTGAGATATTTCAGGTTTTTTGAGCCTTCAATGTACTTCTTGAGGTTATCTGGTGTTTCAGGTCACGTTATGAAGAAAATTTTTATTTTATCAAGATGCTACGATGAATATTGCTAAAAATTTTACTAAACTTGCCTTGGAATTGCAGGAAAAATAGGACTGGTTCTATCACGAAACTTGCCGTGAAATATCATAGACGCATGCGCATTGTTCGATTCAAAATTGCATTGCATCGAACTTGCTGGTAAATAGCATAAATGTACGGCGCCCTTCAGCGGCAACTTACGTAATTTTCTGGTTGGCAACACTGGTAGGTTCTTCTTTTCTGTGTTCTGTGCATTCTGTGCTTGATTCTGTGCACTTCTGTGTAAGGTGGCTCTGCCAGGCAATATTGACGTTCTGTGCTTTTGAGTGTTGACGCTGTCGCTGTTGTGCTTTTTCTGTTTTTGTCTTTGTCAATATAACTAGAATTTTTATGTTGAAGTTAAAATTATAAGATATCCACTTGGAATCATGTTTTTCGTAACGTACAGGGCCTTTATGCTCCTATTTTTATGTGTGTTGTACGTTTCAGTTTTAATATGATACAAGGTGCTGGTGATTGGTGACCTCAGCCTCAGTATCTGGCGCCATTATTGTGTACCTATTTTAAATAGTTTATTTTTTGCTTTAAAGTTTTTTTCATAATACCTATATCCAGTTTTATCAGATTCCATACACAGAAGGTAAGTGAACAAGCTTTGATTTATCAAAATATACAATTTATGTATTCATTTAAGATGAATAGTCACACTCCTCGGTCTTACCAGAATTCAGGAGATTCTGGTTGTTATTCAATTTTTGAAAGTACTCCAAATTCGAATATTGAAAATGAGAGTACTCCAACTTCTGCTGCTGTTTCGAGGAAGAGGAAAGCATCCTGCTTGGATAGCTATAATGGCAGAAAACTTTCAGAAGTTATTGAGTTTTGTCCTTCTACCCCACAATTTTCCAGTACCATGAATGAAAGTCTGATGATCAATTTGGAGAACTGCCACCTTCAAAATGATGTTAGCACCATTCATGATGATTTAGGTAATATGCCCAGTATTTTGTTCAAAATTTCTCATTTATATTGTATACAGATAGTAGAGATACAGATCCTGTTCAGATGAAATTGGAAAAACAATATTGTTGTATTAAATGACCAATAATTTTCAGCAGTATGCAGGATTTTGGAAATAGCACACAAAACTTCATTAGTGATTTGTACTTGTCTCATATTTAAGTAATGCCTGATGATCATTAATATTTCTTATATTTCTAAAGAAATTATTCTGATCATTCTTTGGTAGTTGTGGTATAGGAGGATTTATTTATGAAGGATAATCTTGGGTAATTCACATAATCTTGGTGATTATTTTAGTGTGATATTTGTACTTATTTATATTCTCAAATTATTAAACACTGGCTTAAACATGACTACAAAAAGAAGGTAGATTGTAGAAAAGACCAAGTGTGTTTTGTGTTTGTGTGTGTGTGTTGTGCTATTCATTAATTTGAGCATGCCATCACATTGTGCTGTAGTATAAGGCACAAAAAATGAAGTGGGAGATGAACAAATAATAATTATTTATCAGGTGAAAATGGTTATCTCACATGTTTTCATTATGAAATTTTGTCATTTCTCAATAGGATTCCTTCTGCCACTTACCCAATAGAATGGAAGCTAATACTATAATTATTATACTAATACTGCTAATAGAGTGAAAATGTCTACAACATGCACAGGATCATATTTTGTCAGCATGACGGACCAGTCCTCCCATTTGATAGCATGAATCCAATCTTGGTTCTTGCCTTCTTTTAGAAACTTCAAGGGCATTTCTATTAGCTCCTATTGCAGAAGAAATTCCAATGAGAAATGACAAAATTTCAATATGGAAACTATGTGAGTCACTATACTACTTATTTGATCAGTGTTGCTAGCTCAGATTTCCAATGGTCGCAAAATGGCCACCTGAAAAACACCAAAAAACTACCAAACCTGATGCAATCAAAAAAAAAATGCACCACAGGCGGAGTTTTTTGCAAATCTAGTGATTATCTGGTGGTGTTAATTTCAGTTAAGATCACTATCAAGTATACTAGATATAATGGAAGTCTAGCTGGTCAACAGATCTTGGCTTAATGATATATAGATATAAATGAATGTGAAAAGTGTTTTTTTTTTCAACAGAAAACAAGATGAACAAAATTAATGCTTCATAGCATCAATGGCATACTTGTATATGTAAGGTATAAAACATGAAAAATAAAAAACAACAACCAGTATTTCTTCTAAAATCAGATTTTTTTATTGAACAAGGGGAATTATGGATGCAGGTCCTCAACCTCCAGATTTCACCATTTATTTGGAAGAATTCCCAACACATCCACTAGATGTCATATTTTGTCACAAGACGAAAACTCAAACCACCAGTCCTAGGGTGAAATCCACTATGTTGGCAACACTGCTTATCACAATCACAATGTACAATCTACCTGAAAAATTGGATTTCTAGATCTCTGGCTGCATTTTTAATTGCATTGTACAACAGCACAATGAGATGGCATGCTTGAATTAATGAATAGCCCAAAAAAACATTCATATACCATAATATTGGGAAAAACTATTTCAATCCTTTGATTCCATTGTAAACAAATAAGAAAAGTGAGGTTATGTTCCTATGTTTTACAGAAAAGCGATGGTGAGTTCAAAGAAATTATTTATATTTATTTTATATGTAACATAATAGTTCCAATATCAATAGAATCTCATGGTCAACGGGCGGTAAAATAATTACACTATGTATTACTAATTGATATTTCTTCACCAGTGGCAGCCATAATTTGGCTAAAGGAATTCAAAATTATGAGTGGTGTATTTCGGGCATAAATTGCTTGTATGCAGGACCAGGCGTAAAGTGTTATTCTATCGCCTGAATTCGTGAGCATAAAGTAGCACATTAGCGCCCAAGGGTGATAAAAAAGTACAGCGGGTGGTAAAGTAGTCCGGCGGGCGATAAAGTTACCGGAGTGAATCGCGAAAAGCAGGCCGGACAAAATAAATACAGGGAATATTAGGAATTTATTTTAAATTAGTGCATGAGTGATTTTTCATCAGTATACTTCTCCTATACATTTCAATTTTCATTTCAATACTGAACATATTGGTAAGTTATATTTTTATATCATAATACATCATATTATTCTATTTGATTTGAGATATAATGTCAACTCTCAATTTCAGAGGATTTTGATTTTTCATGCTCTCTCTTTTTTTTTATATTCAACAGATATAATTCAATTTTCGGCGTGGCAAATAGCCAGGAAAGTAGTTGTTTTCTGTTGAATATTCAGAATGATATTATGTGCTTATATATATAGGAGAATGCAAATTCTCTACTTCAGAAGATTTTGTTTTCAAATTCTTATTATGTGTGTTCAATAGATGTAATTCAATGTTCGTCGTGGCATATAGCCAGTGTTAAAGTAGTTGTTTTCTGTTGAATAAACCCAGACAGAATTAATATGTTCATCACATGGAGAATGCGAATTCTCAATGTATTTCTTTATACAGGGTGATTCACGGTGGAAGGCCTATCAGAAGTATCTGGAGAACAAAAATACAGAACATTCTGAAAATTAGGATGCTTTGATAATTGAACATTCTCTATCCGTATAAAATATTTTCATCGATACAGTGTTGCCACTACTATCAGAAACAACTAGCAACTTTGTTATTTTAGGTGGACACCGTGTATTTTATTGCATTTTTAGATTCTTCCTAAAGAGCTTATTTCATCAATGTATCACACTTGGAGTCTAGCAGGAATGATTACAGAGATATAGGGTGTTCAAAATCGAAATTTTCCAATTTTAGGATTTTTTGTGTCGAAACTATTCATTATCGATCAAACGGCTTACATGTCCCTATCTTTACTTTTGATCCACTATCTACTGGAATTTAATTGGAAAAAATACAGGGTGCTTCAAAATTCGGAATTCTGATCACCCTGTATCTGTTCCAATTAAATGTCAGTAGATAGTGAATCGAAAGTTAAGATAGGGACATATTCAAGCCGCTTTGATCTAGAGTCACTGGATGGTATTAGTTTGATAAGAGTTCGGACACAGCTGAACTTTTGTCTTTTTCTATTTTCTATAATACAATGGTTCAAGTGAATAAAAGAATAAGACATATATTCTGCTCTTTGTCTTTTCAATTTCCCTAGTAGCGCCTGATTGTCAGATACGATTTTAGAGGTTATATTTTCTGTCAAATCAATCATTGCCGTAGATGGACAATGGCTATAGGGTACAAACACCCACTTCTAGCAGAACAACTGTTATATAAATGAAAAAAATGCATATAACAACACTTTAATATTAGAGAAGATACACATATGCATAAACTTATAGCTATAATTCCTTATTGTATGTAAAACTGTACTCAAGTGATGAGTATAAAACATTAACTTATTTATATTAAATTAGAGGTAGGTATTCTCAATATACAGGAAGTGACATAAGTACTTTCAAGTGAAGTATTCCTGAAACAACAGTCTATATAAGCTTTTGTGTCCGGAAATGCTTCATTTCGGAGATACAGGGTGCTGAAATACAGAGAACAAATCATTTTTCGATAAATATTTGATAGGAAAAAAGTGGTTTATTTTGACGAGACCTACCAAATACTTGGTTTTGTAAAGTTCTCAGCAACTCCACTTAGCGCCCTAGGAGCTAAGTAACATGGATCGATATAGAAAATATCTCCATAACGATGACGTCCAGCGTGATTAAGGCCCTTATAATAATTCCCTTGATACATATATAACTATTCACTTTTCACTGTTAAATTTTAAATTTGGTCGACACCAAAAACGCCATTCAATAATATATCACTGTAGTTTACATGCTTTTCTTAGTTTCGTTTTCAAATTCTCAATTTCATTGTGTAATTTCGCGATCATTTCCTCTTTTCCATGATTATTTTGTTTTGTATTTTGTATGATGACTATGATGATAATGATGGAATTTTGTTCTCGAATTCGCCTGCTTTGTAAATTGATGGAACAGCAGATTCTCACAAAAAGATTTTGAAATCTTCTGTTTGAAAATGAGCCTGAAATATAGTTTCATTCTAATCAGATGTTATTATAAAAAGTGAATTTTAATGAGTACCTCACAAATTTCGCTCGTCTTCAAATTGATTTTACACCCAGGCCATTTCATATCTTCCTTCCATAAGCGAATGGTTGATATTTGTTTCCGAAAATTGAATAAATTATATCCATTTTTTTCAGAATTGGCACAATTTATTACACGGCAAGTAATTCCATAGCTGCTTTCATCTCGAATGTATAATTATGAAATTCTATTTCAATTCTGACGTTTATGAAATGTATTGTCAAATTCAAACAATTTCGAATGAAAAAGCGCGGGACGACTATGGTGCTCTTGTCACAATGCAAGGTGTGAAACTTTATAAATCTAAACATTCAAAAACCCTAACAGTTGCCATTTCTGTGTCCGAACTCTTATCAAACTAATAACATCCAGTGACTCTACTTTGATCGATAATGAATAGTTTCGACACAAAAACATCCCAAAATTTGAAAAATCTTGATTTTGAACACCCTATATCTCTGTAATGATTCCTACTAGACCCCAAGTGTGATACATTGATGAGATCAGCTCTTCAGGAAGAATCTAAAAATGCAATAAAATACAGGGTGTTCCATTTGAAATAACGCAAGTTGCTAGTTATTTCTGATAGAAGTGGCAACACTGTATCGATGAAAATATTTTAGACGGATAGATAATGTTCAATTAACAAAGCATCCCATTTTTCAGAATGTTCTGTCTTCTCGTTCTCCAGATACTTCTAATAGGCCATCCACCGTGGATCACCCTGTATATATATCCATTTTTTTGTGTTCATAAATATATCTGAGAATATTCCTTTTCAATAGGGAGAAAATAATTTTCATTTTTCATTGCTGTGTAAAAATCTGTTATTTTGAAAAAGAAAAATGTGTTGCTATGGATTTTTCTTGTCAAAAAACACGTAACGTAGACGAAAGAAGATATTCATCATGTCTACTGATTTTGTCGCATTCATTTCACCCCAATTTCACCCCGATAATGGCTAAAAAATCAGAAATCTATCAATTTGAAAATGAAAAAATGTCTTGCTATGGATTTTTTTTATCAAAAAACACGAAACGTAGACGAATTGTAGAGATTCATCATGTCTACTGATTTTTTCGCATCCATTTCACCTCCGTTTTGAAAAAGGAAAAATGCCTTGCTATGGATTTTTTAGCTATTATCGGAGTGAAATAGTGAAATGGATGCGACAAAATCAGTAGACATGATGAATCTCTTCATTCGTGTACGTGACGTGTTTTTTGACAAAAAAAATTCATAGCAAGGTATTTCTCCTTTTTCAAAATGACAGATTTCTGATTTTATAGCCATTATCAGGGTGAAATAGATGCGACAAAATCAATAGACATAATAGGCCAGTTCGTTTGTATTGCTAATCTTGCAAAAGTTTATTTTTTTTTCATAGTTGTCTGGTCATGGGATGATGTAAACAAAGAAAATCATAGAAAAAAAATCATTATCAGCAGGTAGAGCAAGGACAAACGAACAGGCCTAATGATTCCCTTCTTTCGTCTACGTTACGTGATTTTCAACAAATAAAAATCCATAGCAAGACATTTTTTCATTTTCAAAATGACAGATTCCTAATATTCCTCGTATTTATTCAGCCCGGCCTGCTTTTAGCGATCTTTTTACTTTCTGGCGCGGGAGTCTTGCTGGCTTCACACCGGTGATAAAGTTGGTCATTGGGCAGTAAAGTAATTTCAATATTTTTCCTGTAATTTCTAGTGGACTTTCATTCTAATCAAGTTAATTCAAAATCATTGTCCATAGTGACAGTAAATAAATGTCTAAAACGTACTCATCGCCGATTTTCAAAAAAGTTCTGAGTAGATTTGTTAGCATTCTAGAGTTCCTGAATGAAATTTTATATAGTTCTAGCCTCGCTTCCAGCAAATCGTAGATGTAAATGGTAAACATCAATTTCAAGCACTAACTTCACGCAGCGCCGTTTTTTTTAAAGAGTAAGACAGTTCTGATGGGAGATTTGAATAGCCATCGACGAGTTCTTCAAAATAATCTCATTGTGTTTTGGTGACAAATCGAATCCATGTGAAACCAGCCATGACTTCGCCTAATATTCCAGGCGCGCGCCATAACACCAATGGTCGTTCATTATTAATTTATATTCATGGATGGCCATGAAATTACTGAAACCTCCAGAATATCTCCGTGAATGGAACTATTTTCCATCAATGTATTCCTCTGAGGGTCCTCGATAATCTGTTTATCTCACAATAATTTGTCGGACAAGAATTAGTAGTAGTAGTAGTATTGTGGGGAGGCTGTAGCCAGGCAAGTAGGCCCCCATGGGCCCTTTTTGCCAACCCCTGCTCTCCACATATCTACACATCCCTCTTTTAGTTGTCCTTTTCGAACCTTCCCGTCCTTCTGATGAAGGTCAGGATGTCCGTCCACTCTAATTCGACCAAGTCTTCCTGTTGTAGTTTATCTACTCCAAAGATTTCGAATCTCATCCTTCCATACGCCTCACACTCTCCGAGGAAGTGAAGTGATGTCTCCTCATCTTCTCCGCATTCGCGGCAAGTGGGACTATCTTCCACACCTATGAGTGATAGGTGTCTGCGTAACCTGTTATGCCCTGTTAGTATCCCTATAAGAAGGCGCAGGACTTGGCGATCCCTGCCCAGCAACCAAGCCGTCCTTGGCTTGCTAGGACCGGCCACCAGGTCTCTCGATTGCCTGCAGCCGCCTATACGCCTCCAATATACTTCTAGTGCCTCGTCCGCCCATTTGTTAAGGGCAGACGAAGTTTGGCTTCTTGTTATGCCCAGTGCAGGCTCCGGCCCCCAGAACGGTGTCGCGGATCCGATTCTAGCCAGCTCGTCGGCCACCTCGTTCCCGGGCACCCCCCTGTGCCCCGGAACCCATACTAGTTCGACTTCCTTCTGTTCAGCTAGTTTCTCAAGAGCATCGCCACATTCCTGCACCAAGGCTGAGCTTGGTTTAGGATGGCAGACAGCCCTGAGAGCCGCCTGACTATCCGAGCAGATGTAAATCTTCTGCTCTGGTCCCTCTTTCACCTCATGCCTCTCCGCTACTGCCAGAATGGCAAAGACCTCGGCCTGGAAAACTGTGGTATACTTTCCAAGAGCGTAGCTCTCCCTTATGCCTAATCCTTCTACGTAAATTCCTGCGCCTGAGTCCTGTTTGTCAGTTAGGCGCGATCCGTCCGTATAACATACTAGACTCCCCGGGTGGAATTCCACTCTGTTCTCTTCCCATTGTTCCCTGCTTGGAATAGTGAGGGTGAACCTTCTATTCCATCTCAGCCTATTTTGGGCGTTCTTCACTCTTAGGGTGGAGATAGGGATCTCCTGCTCCACCCATGTCGCAATTCCCGCGTGACCTGTCACTGCTCCTCCGTTAGCCCAACTCCCCGAGTCCCGCATCCTCAGATAGGCCGCCATTGCTTCCCTCTTAATCCAGATTGGAAGCGGCGGCAGCCCCAGCAGTACCTCTAGGGTTGCAGTTGGCGTCGTCCTCATAGCTCCTGTGATCGCCAGGCAGGCCATCCTCTGAACTTTACTGAGCTTTCGACTGATTGTGCTGGTTTCTGCACCTGGCCACCACACAGCTGATCCATATTGAATCTTTGGTCTTACGACCGCTGTGTATAGCCAGCGCATGATCTCGGGGTTAATACCCCAAGTTCTCCCAACAACCCTCCTTAGTTGCCAAAGAATTGCCACCGACTTTTGCACGATCCTATCTACGTGTTGCCTCCATGAGAGTCTTGGGTCCAAGACGACGCCTAGGTATTTGACCTGTTGGACTAACTCCAACTCTTGGCCAAACATAGTAGGTGGTTTAAACCCGTCCCTTTTCCTTCGGTTAGTGAATAGGATCATCTCTGTTTTTGTCGGATTAACAGAGAGCCCCGCTTCATCACACCATCTTTCGATTATCCTGCAGGCTACCTGCATACGCTCACAGACAACCCCTAGGAATCGGCCGCTCACCAGAACCAATCCGTCGTCTGCGTATGCCTGCGCCTCGAAACCTTCCAGGGTGAGCTTGCACAGGAGTTCATCCATGACCAGGCACAGACAGGACAAGAATTAACTTCACAGGCCCCATCTTTCAGAATTTCTAAAAAAAAAATCATACTTTTTCAAAATACACTTGGGTGGTAGTTTTTTTTCTATGAATGTGTTCCTCAAATGGTACTCGATAATGTGTTTATCTCACAATATTTTGTCGGTCAAGAATTAACCCCACAGGCCCCCTTTTTTGGAATTTCGAAATAAAAAATCATAACTTTTTCGAAATACAAGTGGATGGGAGTTTTTTTCTATAAATGTGTTCTTCTAATAGTACTTAATAATGTGTTATATTTTGTCAGTCAAGAATTTACCCCACAGGCCTCCTTATTTGAAATTTCGAAAAAAAATCATTACTTTTTAAAAATACTCGTGGTTGGTAGTTTTTTTATGAAAGTGTTCCTCTGATGGTACTTGATAATTCGTATATCTCACAATAATTTGTCGGGCAAGAATTAACCCCACAGGCCCCCCTTTTTCGAATTTCGAAAAAAAAATCATAACTTTTTTAAAATACACGTGGATGGTAGTTTTTTTATGAAAGTGTTCCTCTGATGGTACTTGATAATGTGTATATCTCACAATAATTTGTCGGGCAAGAATTAACCCCACAGGCCCCCCTTTCTCGAATTTCGAAAAAAAATCATAACTTTTTCAAAATACACGTGGATGGGAGTTTTTTTCTATGAATGTGTTCCTCTAATGATACTTGAAAATGTGTATATCTCACAATATTTTGCCCTGCAAGAATTACTTCCACAGGCCCCTTTTTTCGAATTGCGAAAAAATATAACTTTTCCAAAATACACGTGGATGGGAGTTTTATTCTATGAATTTGTTCATCTAATGGTACTTGATAATGTGTATACCTCACAATATTTTGTCGGGCAAGAATTAACCCCACAGACCCCCCTTTTTCAAATTACGAAAAAATATCATAACTTTCTCAAAATAGACATGGAAAAACATACCATATTCAGCACGTGTATCTTGAAAAAGTTATGATTTTTTTTTTCGAAATTCCAAAAAAGAAGGCCTGTGAGGTTAATTCTTACCCGACGAAAAATTGTGAGATATACACATTATCGAGTACCATTAGAGGAACATGTTCATAGAAAGAAACTCCCATCCACTTGTATTTTGAAAAAGTTATGATTTTTTTTTCGAAATTCAAAAAAGGGGGGCCTGTGGGGATCCGACAAATTATTGTGAGATATACAGATTATTAAGGACCCTCAGAGGAAGGATGGATCATAGTTTCATCCACGGACATATTTTGGAGGTTTTAGTAATTTCATGGCCAGCCATGAATATAAATTAATAATGAACGGCCATTGATGGTATAGGGCGCGCCTGGAATATTAGGAGAAGTCGTGGGTTTAACTCCTGGCTGGTTTCACACTGATTATGTTATGTATGGATTGACAATGTATGAGTTAGTAGACTTCTCCAGTCTTTAAACTTTTACTAGTTTTTTGGGATTAATAAAAGGGATACAATGTCTTATATTGTTGAAGTTTCGTTCACTATTTCTCAAAACAAAAACACTTAACTGGTATTCAAGTATCGCTCCAATACCTTTCCAGAATCGTTAAATGTTACCGAACACAATCAATATGAAGACAACGAGGAGAAAATCTGCCACTTCAAAAAGTTGTTCAAACCCAACAATCTCAAAAGAAGGTTTTGCTCCGCCCCTAATACCCCCGAGAAGCAGGTCCAGGACAACCTGAAAAAATCGAACACCAACAGCTTCATCAAAAACTTTGCGCAAGTGACCGTTCACACCCAATCGCCTCTGAACAAGGAAGCCCTAGACATATTATACCCCGATTTACCTCCGTTGGAACCGGTGAGGAAACCTCTGACGCCACAAAAGTTCAGAGACAGCTTCGACAGGAGTCTCGATAGGAGTGCAACTCCTGCCAAGAAACGTCTCTTTTCGCTGTCGCGGAAGGAACTGTTCAAGAGCATCGTCTCCAATAACATCATCATGAAGAAGATCCTGCGGGAGTTGTCTGAAGGTGATCTCTACCGATTGGGACAAGTTTCGAAGTCTCTGAGAGACGCGATCTTGTCCGATATCGATGCCTCTGGTAGGTATTCGGGCTACATGAAGATTCATCACAATTACAAGGAGAATTATAAGATTACGCCGCCGCCGTCTCCTGAGAAGTCCGATGAACACTTCGAAAATAGTTTGAGCTCCAAGAATTTCGCATACTTTTACAGTGTAAGTGTTACTTCCCAAGCATACTCTCAGATAGATATTGTGCCTACTTTCCGAAAATGAAGGTTTATCGAACTGTTCCACAGGATATGGGCCTGTATCAGTAAACAATGTTATTTCATTATTTCAAAGTACTAAACCTATCTAATTCACTGTTGCTAACCGTTTTTCCCTCAGAGCTCAATAACTTTTTCAAATAATTACTGAGTCACGATAGTTCATAACATGAAAAAACGCGGGAAAGCGCGTGACGTAATCATCCGAGAACATATAAGATTTGACTTACGTATCGATTCTGTATTTCTGATAGACAAGTGCAAGAATATTTCTGATTGTCAATTCAATCAGAATATGGAATGATTTTGGATTGAATACTTACTGCAGATAACAGAGAACACAACACACAACTAATGAATCAGATAATATGAGGATTATCTTTGAATATTCGCATCTTGACTAGATCAAACAAGGATATGACGATGAACGTGACGGCCGATATTGACGTGAGGATGTAAGATTGTCAATGCAGTTCGTCTTCTTCTATTTTTGTATTTCTGGGAACTTAGGCATAGGCTTAGGTAATTACTAGTTACAAATCTGGCTTGAAATAAGTGGTCATGGCGTTTTTTGACGTCGCTGAATTTAATAGGCGAGTGGAATATATATTTTTTGAATTCTTGAATAGAATCACCAGTCAAGTACCTTCCAATTTCATATTTTTTTAGAATTTCTCGGTCGATTTTTAAGTGCCGAAATCATCAATAATGCCACGGTTTTGCGTTTGCCGCGAGTTGAAATACGATTGGGAATTTCAGGAATATTAGTTATTCAAAATTCATTTGTGTAAATATTTACTAATTATATTAATTCATACTAGAGGACATTTGAAGCGGTGAACGTGACAACACGGCGCGCACGACTTGTGGGCGTGGTCTTGTCCCTTCTCACCATTCAGCACAATGTTGCCAAGTCTCCAACATTTACATAATATTTTTTTATGGAGTATAAGAAATATTTGGACATGCTGGTTGCTCGAAATAGTAGCGAATGAACTATAATATCATGGGTTCCTCCTATTATGTTTTATTCAACGACTTGACATCCTTGCTTCGTGAGTGGTAATGGAAGATTTTCTGACCAATAACGAAACAGCATAAAAGCTGACATCACCATTCTTTCGACGTATGGCTAAATGGTGGCCATGACGGTACGTTTGAAATGAGCTCCGAAATTCAACAATTTCGAACAACGCATACACTCATTATTTACGTTAAAAAAGTGTGAGAAGGGTTGCAAAAATCAATTCAGGTCCCTAACGACACAGTGGAGTAATTGAATGCCAATATCTCATTATGAGTCCACTCGCCCATTATTGAAAAAAATATTTGCGATGATTTTAGTGTTTACTAGTGTTTACAACTCCATCCTAATCCTTCAGTTTGGGGAAGTAGGATATAAAAGTTAGGCAAGCCAATGTAAGCTTAGTTTATTTTATTTTACCAGTTATTCACCTGAAGAAGCTACTGTGTTAGAGAAACATGTCGTGTGATTAAAATTTTGTTGAAATCTTATAGTTTGTGAAGTTTTTTAAATATAGGGTGACATTTGGAAAATTTCCCACCCTCAATATCTTTTTCAGTAATTATATGGAAAATCAAAAACAGGTCGATTTTATTTCCAAGGAGGAACCTCAGAATAATTAGATTAAACCCTTCTAGTTCAATCCCCTAGGATGGGTAGATGTTACCCTTAGAATGTCAAATGGGAAGTGGGCTCAAATGGCGCATCATTTTGAAGGACGTTAAATTCCCATTCCAACGATACTTTAGTTTATCATTTTCTGTTGAGCAGTTTCCGAAAAATGCCGTGTCAATTAGAAAACTTTACATCCTTGATATTTGGAAATTTTTGTTTTGACGCTTTCAAAATTCACAAAAAGAGAAGTTTTTCTTTAAAATCCCGAAAAATTTTGGGTGATTTTGCACTTATCATACGATGGGTTTTTTGCAAAACATTTTCTCATTACCTACGTATTTTTGTCTGAAAATCAAGAGTTAGATAATGAAAATGTGAACAAACCATTATCTATCGGGATATTTCACGAAAAATTTGAAATTTCACCTTATTTTCCCGCCTGTATTGGATACGCATTTAGAATTATTTACCTTCTTTCATCATTGGATAATTTATATAATATAACGATGTACTTCAATGACACATTTTGAATATGAAAATCGACGAGAAATGTAATATTCTTGCGATTTTTTCATATTTAGTGAACTGTCACCAATCAGACCAGCTGACGGAATTCCGCCATTCAAGTATCAAGGACAAGACAAGTCAAATATGCATGAATTCACTTTCACCGTGGGTAAATGAAAAAACTTTTTTTTTCTGAAAATTCATGTTACACAACTAGTATCAATCTCTTAAAGTGGAAAAAAGATTGAGAAGGAATAATATCATTTGAAATAAAGTTTATAACGTCATTCACGAAGAAATTCGTTTATTAAAGTTTATGTTTTTGCGAAATCTGTTGACGTTTGACCTTCATTTGACATCAAAAATGAATTGGCCGTCAGCTGGTATGATTGTTCAGTGAATATATGAAAAACTCAAATCATACTATCTTGCCAAACCCTAAGAAATACTCCTGGAATTTTCGAAAGGGTTCGCCAATCCATGAGATAGAGAATGGAATCCTGTATTCTAGCAGAAGGAGGACATTTTCAACAATTCTTGTAATGATTTAATTGAATAGTTTCAGAGTTGATTTCGTCCCAAGCAGACATCGTCAAAACTTGTTGTAAACTTGTGGTAGTTTGTGTGTAAGATATGTTTGGAATTTGTTGAAATGGTTTTTATTTTTTAACGTGAAAACGGTGCGTCGAATGGAAAAAAATTCGAGATGCCAAAATGTTGCAAAATGAATAAGGATTTCAAAAATGATTTTTTTTTCTGGAAAAAGCAAGGGCGTACAATATTTTTTTAGAAAAATCTACAGTATACACCCTATACGGACGCCACTGGTAGGAATTTTTAAAATTCTCCTGCATCGAAAAATACCTATGGGTGCTTAGTAGGTGCATGTCAAATTTCATGGAAATATCTAAGTCAGTATTGAAGTTATGATGAGAAAACTAAGTTTTTCTTAGAATTTTAACACCCTATATCACGAAAGTTGAGACGTTTAGGGCATATGTTCATTGGAACTTTTCTTCTTCAAATAAGCTGACTAACCATATCCCGAGTATTCGGTAATCAATTAAATTACACCCTGTATACAGGGTGACCGTTTTCTGAGCTCCACGATCGGAATCTCAGTTATTATAAGAGATACGAAGACAGGTTAGGTTGGCAACAACGCAAGGAGTGATATTTGACTTATTTGAATTGAGACCTAAACCTTTAAGCACATCCCATCCAATTTTTCCCATAACTGTATTATTCGCCCCACTATCTAACAAAGCTTTGAATTCAATCTCAAAAATTTCAACTGATAAATATGGTCGATTATCACCTTCACAGTGTGACAAAATATACGAAAGTACTGGCAAAATTGTTTGAGAATCACTATTTTGAACTGAGTCGACTACTAATTTGTCAGAGCACATCACACGACTCCTTAACGGCTCTGTTGCCCGTTTCCCGAACAGTTAAGACAAGTTTTCACTGAGACTTCAGGCCTACCGCATTTAAAACAATGTTACTTTTTGGGTTGTGTACACCTATTCCTAATAATTTCCTGACTGACCGCAGTTCCAACAGGTTGGACCTGAAGAGGGTCTAGTAGTGAGCGGAGTAGACTGAGTCGGGTTAGGCCCAAAATTCATAGGAGCAGCTTGAATGGAACTGTTTGAGTAATTTACTAAACCTGAACTATGTGGAAACAAATTACTAGTTACATCATACTGATGTTGGCATGAGTCATTTTAGTCTACAAATGAGTTACAGGATGTTTTCATTAATTGATCTTGAATCTACCATTTTCATGAACGTCGTTCCTTATTCAAAACCATAGTTTTCAAGTAGATGAGTTCGACGAAAATGTGAACGTTCCAGATCCGAATTCAAATGAACTGTCGCTTGTTAAACAAAACTTTTGGCGTTCTTTCCAAAGCACTCTTCGCAAAAGTGGCCAATGACAAAATAAGAAGAGCAAGTAGATAGCTGTAGATGCATATCCAAGAGAGGCGGAAAAAGGAGGTGGAATTCAGAACTTTCTTGTGAAATATCTCGATAAATAGTGGTTTGTTCACATTTTCATTATCAAATTCGTGTTTTTGAGAAAAACATTCGTACCTAAAAAAAAAATTTCGAAAACAAAAAACATCACATGATAATTGCAAAATCACCAAATTTGAACAATTTACCCTGTATAACAATAATGATTTTTCAGTGCATTTTTTTCTATTTTAGATCGCCTCTGGATTGAATAAATATCAGTCTCTCACGAAATGTCCCCGATGCAACAAAGCTTCTGTAGTTGAAAATTACATTGGGCAGTGTCAAGATTTGCTTAGATGTGGTTACATTTTTTGTAGGAAATGTGGCAGTTTTGCAAGCAATCCCAAGGATTTTAAAGACATATGTAATAATGCACAAATTATGAACATGCCAAAAGCAAGGTACCTATATTTATTTCTTTGTGTGTACATTTTCCATCACAGGCAACAAAGTTCATAGTTATTTTGCTCATAATTTGTTTTGGTAAATCACCATTTTTTTGCAGGTGTCATTTTAGCGATTTAAGCAATTCGTCCATTACCAGTGATTATGTGACTGACACTTCGAGTTCCTTTTTTTCTTCGTCGTTAAATCTGAATCTCATTAACAAATTCGACACTTCAGGGGTTGCACCTGGGAGTGAAACATCAACTCCCAAACTTAACGTGAAGAGAAATTTGTCAAAATCGTTCATGTCTCCATCTGAGGTGAGTAAATTTCTTTCATTGTATTCATTCAGTTTCTTCAATGGCCATTCTTCACTTTGATTCTTACAGAGAAAAATAGGTTGAGCTCATACAAAAATAATGGCTGTACTTATACATATTGACTCTTATATCTAAGCAGGGAAGCAATTTTGAAAAATCGATTAAAAATACCTCATTAAATCAAATTTGCAAACCCTGTAAATTCTTCACCTTGATTTTCCCAAGATGATAGTTGGAGATTGACTGTGTATATGTTGGCGTCAATTAGTGAATATGTCGGCGTCAATTAGTAATATGGAAATACCGGGTGCTCAGAGCGAATGTATTGAAATAATTTGTACAAAAAAAAATTGATAAAAAACAAAACGTCTAAATGAATTGCTCGATATGACCTCCAATTTTTTGAATACACATGCGAGCCCTTTTAATTAAAGAAAATCTTAGCCTTTGAAGAAAAGATGATTTGCCCCCTACTGGTGCACCTCCGCATCTTGCTGTAAATGTTGGCAATTATTTGAATGAAATCATTCCTAATCGCTGGATTGGTCGGGGTCAGGATGCTCCTATTAAATGGCCATCCCGTTCCCCTGATCTCACACCCTTGGACTTTTCAGTCTGGGGATGCATGAAAGATTTTGTGTGTAAGGTTCCGATTATGAGCGAGAATCATTTAAGAGACAGACTCTTTCAAGCTGGGGAGCACTCCAACAGGTTGAAGCCACATATTTTTCAAAGGCTAAGATTTTCTTTAATTAAAAGGGCTCGCATGTGTATTCAAAAAATTGGAGGTCATATCGAGCAAATTATTTAGACGTGTTGAATTTCTATCAATTTCTTTTTTGTTAAAATTATTTTAATACATTCTCTCTGAGCACCCGGTATTTCCATATTAACCTTTTCGTACGTAAAAAGTTACGCCCCTCTTCCAATTTCGACGAAATAAATAGGACTATGTGAACATTATGAGATTACCGTAAGCCGCATAGGCATCAAACAATAACCAGTACTTTTCGAATTATCTTGAAAACAAATAATTTTATCCAAATTTAACAAGAGACAAAAAATACTCAAGAATGATTGAACACTTGAAGAAAAATAAATTTGAAGTCATTAGCGCACGTACAAAAAGAATATGGGGGAAAGTGTTGTAACCTTGCAAATTTCAGGGGGTAATAAGTGATAAAATTTAGTTATGATTGTACCCCTGAGTTGGCTGTTAACCTGCCTGAGATTTACTTGGTGTTTTAATTATTCTCAAAAGTTTTGCTACAAAATATAGTGTTTTAAGTGCCTAGTTTGAGACTGTAGAAACCAAACACTGGTAGTTCAGCGGGACAATGGGGTGGGTACGTTAAATGCCAAAAGTAGGGTGAATATATAGATTTAATAATAAGAAAACTTGAAAAATACAAATTCCACTAGAATTTTGCCTTGATCTCAATGAAAACCATCAATTAGCAAGATTTTATATCACAACTAGGGACTGTCTGAAATCAACTCTTCAGTACATCCCTTATAATCAATTTATAACAAAAATTGGAATAACAGATATATATATAGACAAGGTGATAAAGCAATACCGCAGTGCACGTTGGTTTCCAATATATGAATGACTTGATAATACTAATAAATGGTACAATTTGGGGTATTTTACTTATAACTCAGCATAAACGGTAATTTTCAACCCTTCTAAGTGGTAGCGGTATTTGGTGGTAGTTTTCCACTTCCAAACGGGCACTAATATGGAACAGACTCACCAAAATTGAAGGTGACAGGCGATTATGTTCCTCGGTGGTGTCTAGCTGTCGAGTACAGGGTGTAGGCGGCCACGTCGATCATATACAGGGTGTTGAGCGTACAGGACAGAGAGTGACGCTACAGGGTGCATACCGGATCCATACAGGGTCCAAACAGGGTGGACTCGAAGAGCTGTTTACTCCTCAGCAACTATACAGGGGATTCTTAGGGTTGCTTGTTCATCAGCAGGCTCTCCTTTGGGGCTTGCAAAAAAAAAAAGGCCAAACCGGTGGATGACGCAGATCGGAAGCCAGGAGATAATTCCAGGAGAATAAGAACCCTAAACGATAAAAAAAAGAAAATGGTTGTGTGCCACTCGAAAAATAATCAAGACTAAATTCCTTACCTGATGTGATGGTGGTCGGGTTCTTGATCGGCTGATGTCAGCCTCGTGGCTTTCGGCCTTAAATCCCTCCAATTTGAGGTATGGTACCAAAACCAAAATTGGTCACCACGAAATGAGAATTCGAATCGAATTAATCCCAACACTAATGGAGAAAGAATAAATCAAAATATGTACAATGCGAAATCGAATCTCTGGCTTACTTGTCACACGAGTTGGATCAACCTTCTCCAGGAAAAATGGCGAGATATCTCGTGAAGATGATGGGCCGTCCTTCAACCGGAAGATCGGTCTTTATCTCAAAAACGCCCCATACCTCAGGAAAGTGTTGGTGGGAGATTTTCCCGCGAACACACTGTAGATGGTATTTCACCACCACAGAAAGATGAGAGAATATCCTAGCTCCAACAAGAAAATACCTAATTTACCCGATATTAGTGAATGTTAACCATTTTCCATTTAGTTTTCGTGGAAATTGATTTTTCGGCGGTTAAAGCCGTTTTGCCACGACCACAATATTCAAACGGAGACATACGCAATCTTCTTCTTTTTCGATGGATGCTCGACTTCATCGAACGAGACATAAACACTAGGGTTATCACACCTACTATCCGATTTAACAACAAATCACTATTTTGACAAAAATCCCGACATCATGCTGAGCTTAGTCCTTCCATAATCAATCAATTTTGAGGGCCATTCAAAAATCGATGAAAAATGAACTGCTGTCAATGACAGATGTTAGCAACTGCTAAAAGTACGGAGAATCATAAAAATAATGACATTGTCTTTCAAAATAAAGCAGAGCAGCTCGCAAATATCGGTCAACTGTCAGTAGTCAACAATCTGACAGTGATAAAGATTCTGACAGTGATACCTCGCTCAATATTATTGACTGAAAATGTAAACAACGAGCACAATATGATAAATCGACTGATAACTAAAATAGTGAAATGATCCTCGCTAAACTGTTGAATATCCGTGCGCTCGAACATATCGAAGAAGACTGGCTATCATCCCACAAAAACAACAGCGTGAATAAATATTCGAAACCAGAATCGCGAACCACGGTAAGCACTGACAACAGACCTTGTCTAATAGAAACTCGAGAGACTATTTTGTTTTCAGGAGCTAAATAAGAGAACTGATTTACGACAATAAACTGTCGTATAAACTATTTGAGATTGCAAATAGGATATATCAACGACAACTGATGAATAAACAAATGAAAATCTGAGAGAAAAGTACGTAAACAAAACCATCTCGATTTGATTTCTAGCAGTATTTTCGTTAGGCAAAAACGAAGTGTAACACTCCCCCTCTACCCCGAAGAGATTTACCTGTAAATCTCAACAAGATAACTTGTCGAAAATACTGTCTACTATACGTTACGGATCTACGGTGGATCATGGAAATCCTCCTCCTCGGAATTCGGATCAGGTGGACGAGACTTGAAATCTTGTACATGCCAAGTACCTCGAGATTTATCATTACTATCGACTACTTCGTATGTCACTGGAGATAACTTCTTTTTAATAATAAAAGGACCTTTATAATTTGGTGCAAACTTAGCCGTAAAATAGTTAGTAGCATCAGAAAGCACATGGTTCTTTACATAGACCGAATCACCAACGGAATAACTCACCGGCCTACGCCTAAGGTTATAGCGCTTTTTGGACTTAGAATGAGCATCATCAAGACGTTTCCGAACATCGCTATAGATGTTTTTGAATTCCTCTACTGCTCTTCGAGGCCTAGGATCGTTGTCCATATTGGCAAGTGGATGTTCATAATTATTTCCACTGGGTTTATGTTCACGCCCGAAATTAACAAAAAATGGTGTCAAACCTGTAGTCTCATGAACGGAAGTTCGAATTGCACAACCAACCTTCGGTAACAACTCAGCCCATATGCGATGATTTTCTTCAACGTAACAAGACAGCATTGCTTTAAGAACACGGTTGACTCTTTCAACTGGGTTTGCCTGAGGGTGATACAGAGGCGTGAATCTAATGTGGACATGATAATTCTCACATAACTTCTTGAAAACATTGGACTGAAACTGTACTCCATTATCGCATATTAAGATTTGAGGACAACCGAACATCAGAAAAACATGCTCTTCAGTTATACGTGTAACTGCAATGGCTGTAGCTGATCTTAAAGGGAAAAATAAAGAAAATTTGCTGAACGTATCTGTGACCACATAGATAAACCGATATCCTTCTTTTGAGCGAGGCAAGGGACCAACGAGATCTACAGAGATCATCTGCCAAGGAACAGTTGGTTCAGGATGTTTACCCATATAACCGGCAGGACGTTGCAGCTCCGGTTTATGTCGGTTACAAGTTTGACATTTCCTAACATAGGCGGCGACATCAGCTCGCATTTTTGGCCAATAGTAGCGTTCCTTCACCCTTTCAAACGTCTTAAAAACACCAGCATGACAAGCCACGGTTTCATCATGATTTTCCCTAATAATTTTCTTCTTATTCTCCTTCGGAACAACCTCTTTCCAATAGTCCGTCGTATCTCGCAAACCAGGATAAGGACAATAAACATACTTGAAAAGTTTGTCATCGACTACTCGCCATTGTGGAAACTTCAGAGGACTTTCCTTAACTTGCTGAACCATACGGAGATACCAACTATCTGAAGATGGGTTTACTTCGCTCGAAACGTTGATAGCATTAATTTCTGGCACAGCTCGTGATAATGCATCTGCCACTACGTTATCACGGCCTTTCCGATGGTAAATCTTGAAATTGAATTGCTGTAAGCGTAGCAACCAACGAGCTATACGACCTTTAGGTTCCCTCAAATTATGGAGCCATACCAAACTATGGTGGTCCGTTATAAC